AGTTATGGCTGATCGTAAACAAGATAGAACCACAAGAATCGACACTCGGGCTCTCTTGGCACTGCCCCTCTGACAAGCTTGGCTATCGAAACAGGTCACTATCAACAGAGGAGCCTACCATGCGCAATATTTATAGAGTGCTAGCTTCTTAACCCTCTGCTCGTTTTTTTTCACATAGCAGAAAAATAGACTTAAAGTACTACCATCATTTCTGTTCATATAGAGTTAAGAAATATGAGAAAATAATCTGTTAAATGTCTACTTTTTTATGTGCCCACATACAATCGAAATAAAGTATTGTGCTTTTGTAAAATAAAGAAAATAAACAGGTGTGCGTTCTGCCTCTCGGTCACCGTTAACTTTTTTTCTGGAGCACGTCTCTAATCTTCAACACAACTCAGCTAATACTATTCACCCAGCCATAAGCAATATATCTTTTAAATCATTTGAGTTTGTACTTTTAAATGATCCGATTCAAAACTAAAATTATTATTCTCCGTTTATGTCATCTATATAAAAAGAGAGACGTGTCAGCCCGTCTCATTATCGTTCTCTCAGCTGATTATCTCTGGTAATGTGACACGCCCACGGAGAGCACGCGCTATTCAAACGCAAATATGTGAAGCAACACATTGAGACGTGTTAACGCCCATAAACTCTGAAAACACACATTATTTTTTAGTCAGATTAATCTACTGTCGTCTTGCACGGCTATATGAGGAACAATCCTGGGACATTTACCACTGGGTTTATTTTCACTTCGAGGATGAACAGATTCAGCTGAGAAGTAAGTGTTTTTTGCAAGTGCTTTGTTCTAATCGCGATATAGAATAACGTAGTGTCTGTAAACGGAAAAATAGCATACTGTTAAATGTGAATCATGTTTGTGTGTGTGTGTGTGTGAATGAATGAATGAATGAATGAATGAACGCACAGATACGCACTGTTACAGACTAAATAACAGACAACATTTCGTTGACTCGTTTTGGATAAAGTTTTTACTCTAAAATAGACATCAAATAAGCTTTTTTTAGAAGTTTCTGCTCATATGTTAAATATATAGTATGTTTTGTCAATAAACTAATCAACTAAGATGTTATAGTGTTTGTTCAAGCTATATCAAAATAATGAATCCTCAACTTTGAAATATGTATGATCAAACTAAGACATTTATGGAGAAAGACAATTTTCTTTTCAAGATGTTTCCAACTCTAACTTTGAACTTTGAACTGAAATAAAACCATGTCTACATGGTGAAGGGTGTGTGATAGAAGTGTCCAGACGTATGCACCCTGTATTTTCCTTATATAAATCCAAACAATCTAAAAGCCATTCTTTTTTAAATCTCCTCATTCTTTGTGCAAGGCTCCTGTAATGATATGGCCTTTATGGGGAGGGTCTTTGTCTTTCTCAGGTGTGGAATGCCACACATATTAATGAGAGATCACGCCTCCTGCATAAAGCTTTCTCAAACAAAACACGTCATTAAAAATGTAAAAGACTTTATTGACTTATCTGAATGAGTAGTCAGGATGATTCTCACATAGTTTTGGAGCAAATATTCTAGGCTATGTGATACAATTTTCAAAAGTCTTGTGAAGAAATAATCAATATGTGTTTTGTGGTCTTATTTCAGCAACTTTCATTTTTATTTTTTTCAATAACCACGCATAAACATTATTCTATTAAAAATACAAACATGTACATACATGTTGCTCAGATCTCATGGTAGCCAAGTTTGTGCTATATAGAGTGAATTTACACCTTTGCCATTAACATGTTTATAAATAACTGAAAAAAGCACAAATGTCAGTGCATGTCAAAACATCCCAAGGGCCCCAAAAACACTCTGGTCCCCAGAGGGTTAATATGACCCTCTTGGGTATATTTTGCCTTATACCACCCGGGCAAAAATCCTTGTTCAAGATCTATGGATAAACAAAAGAGGCTGGGATGACTGCATTGAAAATGAGATGCTTATCAAATGGCAAGAGTGGACCAATGAACTGCAGTATCTTCCTATGGTAGGCATGCTGAGGTGCTATTTTTCTGTGCTCATGTTGCCGTACTTCAGTCCTCCCTACCAGATCCAGAGCTGCACACAACATGGGCAGACTTAGTCCAAGCTACCTACCAGTCTGTATATGGAATAAGTTTCACCCCCAATGTCAGCTTCACAGCACATTGATACTGAACTGCTTCTTCTGAGACAAGCCCGGCAGGATAGTTTCCCTGATGAAGTCCATGCACTTCAGAATGCTAAGGTCATACGCGCCAACAGTAGGTTAAGTACTCGTCACCTGAATATGATCAAACCATGGGATTAATTCGAGTAGGAGGTCACCTTCGCAAAGCTGAGAAACTTGAGATTGATACTTTACATCTATTGTACTGGCACCTGATCACTCCATCACTAAACACATAATACAAGACTACGACAACCGACTGCTTCATCCTGTTCCTGAACGTGTCTTCGCAGAGGTACGAAGAACATACTGGATTATCCGAGGCCGACAAGCTATAAAGAAATATCAACACCAATGCAGAGACTGCAGGAAATGGCGCAGTAATCCAGTTAACCCCAAAATGGCTGATCTTCCTGCTGCTCGTCTTCGCTTATACCAGCCTCCTTTCTGGTCAACTGGAGTTGATTGCTTCGGACCATTTACAGTAAAGAATAGGCAGAAGACATAAAAAACGCTGGGGAATCATTTTCAAGTGTCTCACTACGAGGTGTATCCACTTAGACCTTCTGCATAATATGGACACTGACTCCTTTCTCATGGCTTTACATCGTTTCATTGCACGACGAGGCAAACCCTTCGAATTAATATCAGACCAGGGCACAAATTTCAGAGGTGGTAATCGAGAACTCCAAGAAAGTTTTTTTGCACTTGAGCCAGCAATCAAAGAGAAACTACGTGAACGGAGTATTTCATTTCAGTTTAATCCTCCCCATGCACCTCATTTTGGTGGAGCCTGGGAGCATGAAATCCTGTCTTCAAGTAGTTCTTATAGACCAAATTGTATCTGACGAAGTACTGTCTACTGTTCTTGTTGAAGTGGAGGGAATACTAAATTCTAAACCACTTGGTTATGTATCATCAGAGAATTCGTTGTTTCTGATGGTCTCTGGCCAATGGATATTTAGTATCTTGCGTAGGCAGTTGTTAATGAAGACTTGTTTTCTTTGTAATGGCAACTGTTGTTTTCCAAGTTTCTGCTCCATATAGAAGAACTGCTTTTACATTGGTATTGAAGATCCTGACTTTGGTCTTGGTTGATTGGTTGTCATCTCCTGCATCTGCGGCTGGGTGTCTGATAGTAGGGCCAAGTCAGCTGCGAAGTTCAAGTCAGTTAGTTGCTTCCAAGGTGTCCACTGGATTCCATTCCTTCTCTGAGCTGTAGAGGTCTTCATAATCCAGTCGATTGCAAGTAGAAAGAGAAATGGCGAGAGTAGACATCCTTATCTGACGCCTGTCTTTACCTGGAATGTCTCCATGTGTTGCCCTCTATGTATCACTTTACAGCTTAGACCCTGATATGAGTTCCTGATAATGGTGGAGATTTTTTCAGGTATCCCATAATGATGTAGGAGCTTCCATAGGGTCTCTCTGTCCACGCTGTCGAATGCTTTCTCGTAGTCGAGGAAGTTGATGTAGATGGGTGAGTTCCACTTTAACGACTGTTCAACTATAATTCGCAGCGTTGCAATTTGGTCAGTGCAGGATCGATCTTTGCGAAAGTAGGGCGTCGACTGGCTCTTTCATTCTGTTCAGCAGAACCCTATTGCATTAATAATATAATAAAATTCGATATGAATATCTAAAATTTCTGCCATAATACCATGGTGCAGTTAGTGTTACTACAGTAAATCCATGGTAAATTATGGCGATTTGTACACTGAAACGTCTTCTGACTGTATGCACACAGTGTTTCTCCTAGCGATGAACCGTAATGAATTTTGGGCCGAAAAAGAAAATTCTGGATGCACAAACCGAAAATGATTTTTTTTCTTTTTTTAATATTTATACATTTCTTATTTAATTTTTTTTTTTGTATAATTGTATTATTATTGTTATTATTATTATTATTATTATTAGACTTTTTAATGAAATAATCAATGATTTTACTGAAAATAATACAAGCCAATAAAATAAAATAACCATACTTTTATCTAAAGTAACGCACAAAAATTGGACAGAAATCTTCACCATGTTACAGCACAGTAGGGCTATTGCAAACAGAAATAAGTCCAGAGAAATTTCATGTCGGCACTTTATTTGAGCGGATTTTGCTTTTACAGTGATCGTGAGTGCATGAGTGGAGCGTTTGGGCCGTGAACGACAAAGAGAGCACAGCGCACGCACTAAGCGGAACATTGAGCGCTCTGCTCACACGGAACGAAACAGAGCAGTTGCTTCGAAGCTGTGCATCTTTGGAACCGGAGCCGCTTGAAAAGTTACAAAACATGCTGCACGAGAGTGCAACCCCGCTGAACACGGAGAGGAGGGGCGGGGCGCCATATTTTTGGCTTATATTTTCGGCTTTTTTTGTCTTTCGGCCGGAATTTCGGTGCATCCCTCGTTTCTCCTGTTTGTCAGCGCTGTTTCATCGGGCTTTAAACTAGTATAAATCACCGAAACATTTGTGTTCTTCATCGAATTCATGCGCTTCTCACTGGATCTCAAAGCGCTGTTTAGTGGTCGCATGACCGAGACCGATCAGCGATTAAACGCATCTGCTCTAGTAAGCTCGCGCTGTGCTGCCGTTTGAACTTTGAGCCGAGCGGATAAATGGTCCATGGCGTGGTTCAAATGGCGTGGATAAATGGCGTGGTTCAAATGAGTAGCGCTCCGCATTGGCGCATAAACATTACATTGAACATTTATCGAACTCTTGGTGTTGTTTTATCGAGGAAAAGTATATCGCGATAATTATACTATATCGTTTTATCTCCCAGCCCTACTTTTAAGTAAAACCCATTCTTCTCTCTACAGAGCCCTCTATATGTTGGCTTCTGGCTCGGCGGGCAGAGCTGCTTTTGGAAATGAAGAATTTCAGCCAAGCAATCAAGGATGCAGACACCATGTGCCAACTCCGTCCCTTGTGGCCAAAGGTAGGAATCTGTGTAGAGATGCACCTATACAAAGCATGGTTTTAAAACCTCATAAGATTAAGAACCTTTCACACAAGTGAAAATATTCAAACAAGATTTTGAATAGAAACAATGCTTTCCTATTGTGATATTCAAACCAGGGACATTTAACCAATGGTAAACCAATTTTGTTTGTAGTGTCTTTGATTTAAAGGTACAATATGTAGGATTTTTCGCCACCAGGGGTCGCTAACCTCTTACAATAACAAAGCCGTATCGATGACGCAAAGCAATAAGCGGAATTATGGATCTTATCGTCAAGCTGATGGATCTTTTATGGATGAGTGAATACTTTGATGTTTTTAACATGACTGTGGTATGAAGCAGGGCGCGATTGCTAATGAGAGACGGATACTAGCGTCACACGCAATGTCGAGTCCCGCGGATATTAAGGAATAAGGACATTTCATTCTACCGAACTACACGCAAGTGCTGAATTAATACTCACACAGGTCAGTTTATTAGACAAATTAAACTTGAGCAGCGCTGTTTCACTTGCTCTAACAGTTACACTATCACACTAAATGGCATTTGAGTGTGTTGAATGTTGTTAGTTAGGTTGTTTGTTGGCTATATGAGACTAGCAGTAAGCTAGATCAACATTAGAATAACATACAGATCATATTCTAACATTTCATCATATTGAACTAAATAACATTGATTAGTTTTATGTACATTTGCTCACCTGTCTAATAAAGTACATGCAACACTCGCGTCTCAGTCAAGTCGAAGTTAGGGATGTGACGGTGAGGATTTTTTCACACCGGTTAATCGACGTGTTACAACACCGGTAATACCGGTATCACCGGCAGGGGCTTTTAAATCGCTAATTTAAAGGCACATGTAAAATGCGCGCGTTTGCATGGGCATGCATGCATAATGGTGGTCGTGCGGAGCAACACTGTTTTGTTATTGTGCGCTGAATTGCAGCTCATTTGAAAACGAAACAAATTTTTTTTACATCGCTTATAAAAAGCTGGTGCAGCAGTGTGCACTTCACTTTCACTTATATACATTAGCGTCGGTGGATTTGAACTTGTCTTTAACTGAGGCAATCTCTCACGACACATTAGAGCCACAAAACGGTAGGCCTATTGTTTAATTTTCTTTGACTGACCAAATTTGAAAGTTGAGACTTTGTTTCATATTAAATATTGCCTGCTCGGTCCTGTCTGTCAGCACGTTGTCAGTGTCATATGGCTACGTGAGTTGCACGTATAAAATTAAGTTAACGAACAACCTCGATCCATCAGGAAACGCCATAGGTCGCTGAATGTCACTGCGCTTCATGAAGAGTTTTTCTTTTGCGTGAAGAAGCCGTTCGCCGGAGATGTGTTAAAGATAGCAGTGTGCATTCATGATAATTAGGCTGCCGGTGTAATAATCCTCCTGGCTCCGGGTCTGAGTGAGTCATTTACTCTCTTACCTTTGTTCTTTGATTAACTTTAATGACACTTTAAGACCAGCTGCTGACAGAGACGCGATCGACACGCGTCCCATTTTCTCACAAATCTCTACGTTAATTTAAGACTTTATTTAAATCATTTAAGACTCCTCTTATGAGGACACTCGACAAAACTGACATTTTGTGTGTAAAAACATCATAATTTGTGTGTGTTATGGTTTGTTCAAGCCCGAGAGAGAACTCGATGACGCGCGTCTTTTCTGTGGGTCGGGCGCGCGCGCGTGTGTGTGTAGGCAGGACAGCGCGGTCTCTTTAGTCTTGTCGCGCTTAATATCATTCACATTAATAAGAGCGTGATCATACAACGGTAGTCAACGGGTAACAGAAAAAAACGGATACTGCGTAATTGCGTTAAATATATAAATATATGCCTATATATATATATATATATTTTTTTTTTTCGTGTCGCGGTGGACAAGTGATGAAACCGGTGTTGCGCCTGAACACCGTGTAACACCGGTAACACCGACTACCGTAGCAAGCCTAGCGGACGTGGAGCTCTCGGCATCTCGAAATATTTTGATCTTCGTTCTAGTCCTCTTTTTGTCTCAAAGTCTGCTTCCCATGGTCCATAATGTTTGAACAAAACAACAACAGCGTGAGCATCCTGCTAAGCATAACCCAGTTGTCCACGTCTGTTGCCATGGTTACTATGGCAGTACGAGCGGAAACAGAGGGTAATGCGGATATGACGCCATTGACTGGCGACTCCTCACCCCTGCTCACACGTCCCGTTTCCTTGGTTAAAATCGCAATTTTCTCACGATTTACAAATAGTTGGAAACATTGGGGATATTGTAAGTAATCAACTAAACAAAATATATAACATTGGCCTAGTGGTTTTTGGATATTTTACTGCAAAAATCCTACATATTGTACCTTTAATTAATAGATTATTCAGAAAGTACTTCATATACGGATGAACCAAAAATAGTCAAAAACATACTTCAAGTTAAGGCCATGACCCACCAAACCAACATCATAGAACTAGTGGCAACGAAAGCCAACTGTGCTGTCACCTCATCAGTTAAGGTTACTCAACTCAGTGTTACTCAGAAAATGTAATTAAATTACTGATAACTGATTACTCCTTTTAAAAGTAATCAAGTTACTGTTCTGATTACTTTATTTCAAAAGTAATGTTACATTACTAGTTACGTTAGGACCATAGGAGTATTATTCTGTTGCGCGTTACTAAGGAACAACTGATGATGGCATGGTTTGATGTTGACCAATAAGTGGAAAGAGGCGTTTCGTTCCCGCCCATGTAGAGATGGAATATTCAAGCTGTTTATTAATTTTGGTGGTGTTGTGTTTACATATATGGTAAATTAGAACAAAATGTGATGAAAATAAAAATATGAATATGAAAAGTTTTTTTATGTTCATGAGAAGGGTAGAATATGTGATAAATGAACGGAAACGAGAAAACAACAGTCCTTGGTCAATTCCACATGTGGTTGGGCATGAAACGCCCCTTTCCACTGATTGGTCAACCAACGATGACCAAGGTACGTTTTAACCGTTTGTTTTTTTGGTATAATTAACAAAGGAAAAAAACAGAAACAGGCCGTTTTTCCGTTTTTTTGAATTTTGACCCGAAACGAAAAACCAACATTCAGTTTGATTTTTCGTTTTTTCGTTTTCTTTATCAAAACAAAAAAACGAAATTCAGCGCAATGTCTTGTTTTTCATTATTACTGACAAAACAAATTTATTACTCAATGGGCCCTATTTTAACGATCTGAAACGCAAGTGTCAAAGCGCAAAGCGCAAGTAACTTTGTGGGCGGATCCCGGCGCTGTTGCTATTTTCCCGGCGGGATAAATGCCTCTTGCGCCTGGCGCAAATCTAAAAGGGGTTGGTCTGAAGTAGCTTCATTATTCATAGGTGTGGTTTGGGCGTAACGTGAAATAAACCAATCAGAGCGTCATCTCACATTCCCTTTAAGAGCAGGCGCGCTTGTTCTAAAGCGGATTCCTATTATAACGGCGGATTTGCCAGGCGCGCGCCAGGAGCGGTTCACAGCCGAGGAGAGCAACGTTCTCGTCAGGGCCGTAAAACACAGAGAAGTGACGTTGGGGATGGAGAAACCCACCCAAATTAACTTCTGTTAAACAGGCGTATGATAATTTGGGTTAATGTGTAAGCTACATGTATGCTTTTATAATAAATTGTCTATCTATCTATCTATCTATCTATCTATCTATCTATCTATCTATCTATCTATCTATCTATCTATCTATCTATCTATCTATCTATCTATCTATCTATCTATCGTAATAATGTATGATTTGCAAAAATGAAAACTGCTGGTTACATGAGAGAATCAACGTGTATGCGCGTTGTGCACACGCTACATTGATTATGGCCAAGCATGCGCCCTTAAAATAGCATAATGAACAACGCGCAACGCGCCACTGACTTTAGACTACTTTTTTTCTGGTCAGTGGCGCAATTGTTTTATAGAACAGCAAAATAGCATGAGGGAAAGTTTGCGCCGGAACACGCCTCCTCTTTGCGCTGAACCGCCCCGGGGAGCGCAAGTGTATTTCTCAGTTAACCGACGTGCGTCTGTGGAGGGAAAAGCCCGCTTTGCGCGGGTGCAAAATAGGAATGATACATGCGTCAGTGTACAAAGTCATTTGCGCCGAGTGCAAGATAGGGCCCAATATTTCCTTTCATTGGTGGGTGGGACTTTATCAACCCCTCGCTTCTGATTGGATAGTGTTCTCCATCAGTTATGTCTGTGCTTCAGGCTACTTTTCAAAATTAAGGTTCTACCAAAGAATTTCCATTACTGCTGTGGAGCTCCCTCTTTGCCTTAAGACGATGCAATGTCTCCACAAAAATATAGCTACACTTAGATAACAGTTTATTAATGAAAACTAATTAAATAATGCAATAAATCCCCATCATGATTAAGAGATTAACAGTTTATGAGAGGAGGCGATTCAACAGTATGATCAGTTTGGAGCATGTAGCCTAGTTTGTTGTGCTGTTAAACTGTAATGAATTAAACAAAGGTGTTTCCGTTATTTAACCTCACAGATTAAGGCTTATTTTAGTAAATGCTGTGGACAGCAGTGGCATAGGTTTGATTTTGAAATTGGTGGGGACGGGGAAAATTATTGCTGGGATATATCAGTGTCACTGGATATTGGTAGGGACACGTCCCTAGCGTCCCTACTAAATTCTACGCCCCTGGTGGACAGTAAAGTGTTCTCAATATTATAAAGATCGATGCCATCGAACTAACAGCAAGCACACGAAAAGGATTGACAAAAAATGACCAGCAGGTGTCGCACTGCACCTCCCTCAGCTGTGATCACGTGGAGCCACTTGAGAAAACAGTTCCACTGAGTTAATCCTGCAGTGTTTAAAGATTCATCACACCTGGGGCCTGTACCATGAAGGTAGCTGAACAAACTCGGAGTTACAGGATTAGTTTTGAGTTGACAAAACCAAACCGATGCAATCAGGCTTTATTGGTACC